CCATCACCTGACCAGAATGTTTAAGCATACCATCACTTATAGTTCTCTTTTATGCAATGTCTCCTTCTCATCGCCTGACCTAACTGACTTACATTTCTGCCCATATATAAAGAAAAGAAAATAGTTGCCACTATTTATTGGATGGTAGCATAGTGTTCTTTACCCTTGAAGCAACACATTAGAACCCAAGGGCAATTCTAACTGGCCCATGAGGCAGTAAAAAAGGAAAGGTACACTCACTACAGAACTCAGAACAATTTTCTTTTAGTTTCCAAAAGAAAACCCGGACTACGAGTATATCATGTTTACATTGCATACTTACATTTTACAGATTTCCTAATTAACTAAAACTCAGAATATAAAAAAGTTTATCCATGTTAAAAAGCAGTCACTCAAATGTTATCCAGTACCTTACTGAATACCATATTAATCCAATTACCAGTGTTTGAAAGTCATTTAAAAACTTCTTAATTTCTAAACTTTAATTTTCTTCCCCCATTTCAACACTGACAGAATGACATACCAACAGCTGCCACATCAAGATACAGAGACAGATTTGACATGGTTAATGCATTACAAACTAGGACTCAGATCCCTACAATATGCACAGGACTTGCAATTTCAGTAGAAAAAGCTACACTTTTGTTCACTCCAACAAGACAGATGGTAAGGGTTCAACATCCATTTGTATGGTAAGGACAAATATCAAGGAGAGTAATTTCCTGCTTAAGTTCTCCACAGCTCGTTTCAAATTTAAACAAAAAACAGGAACACATATTGCAGGTTTAGAATACTGAGACATTGTCAGAGTGGAGTTAAAGCAGATCTTCAGGCCTAACAAAAGTGATTAAAGTAACATACTTCGGAACATGTCTGCATGTTGCTTGAAGAACTGTAAACAGTAAATCCTCAAGTCAATGGTGCTCAACCTTTACGTACCCATGTGCACACAACATTCAGCAATACATGAAGCTACAGGAATTTTCTGCACTAGTATCTCTGGGGACTCAATGCTTCAACCTTCTACTGCTAACATACATCTTCTTTTGAAAAAAGAAATCACAACTGAGTACATTTCTACAAACAAGATTACAGTACTGGCTTTAAAAACAGTTTCTAAGGCTCAGACTGAGTCCAAAAAGGCCTCTGATTGGGTTCATTCAAGCTCTTTGTTTGAACTGCACTACTGCAGTATAAGAATGATTGCAGCAAGACGTCCACAGGTCATTTCTACATTTATTTTTTTATACCAAAAAAAGTTGTGCAACAAATAAACATTCTTATATATTTACATTGGCTTTCTTTACCTGTTAGCAAAATTGTATTCTAAACCTCTGATATAGAGTATCTCAACCTATACTGATAAAAGGAACATCTGCCCAATGACTCCACTTTAAATGGATGTTTACTCTGGAGTTTAAAGCACTAGTAATAAATATTAGATGGAACATACTATACAGAACACACACCTAATATTTAGGCCATGCTTAATACAGTTTTACGGTAACAGAATACTTCACTTCTTTTGGACTAGTTTTGTCTAGATCATGTTTAAACAATGTTGGCTGAACCAAAGTCAAGTTTTATCAGATTGTTTATTTAAGTTTAGTTCAAACAAATTAGGAGCCACACTTGCCTCCTGAAGCACCTAACCAACCGTTTTGACCAGTCAAGACCTATTAGAGACTTAGTACAGTAGAAGACGAGTACTACAGCATACAGACATTTCTCTCCTCTAAATGGAGAGATTTGTTCTCACCTCTGATACTTAAAGTAGTAGGAAATGTTTCATTGGCCTTCTTGTAGCAAATATCATACAGTAAGAAGCCTTTTCAGGAATGTTTGCTTTCTAAGCAAGTCTTGGGATTTGATTCCTTTCCCTCTCCTCTTATCACCCTCCAAAGCCTGAAAGGGTAGAAGTCCAAATTTTGAAGAATTTTGGTGTTTTGAAGAAAGCACAAAATTTTATGAGTGCTGAAGTCACAGTTGGGATGGAGACAGTTTTTTGTTTTTTAAGTCTGGATATTATTTGCTAGCATTTTGCCTTATTCTTGTACCCCAATCTTTCCATGAAAGTTTACCAGAAGTTACCTTTAATCTGAAAATGCTCAAATTAACAGATTTCAGTACATTTGGCATGACATTTACTCTGGTTGGGGGGTGGGGGGAAGGGAGTAAGTACTAGCCTGATACCTGGCACATTACTAATTATGACCTGAGCTGTTTTACTGGAAGAAAAATGCTGTCTCTCATTGGCAGCAGTAAAGAAGAGAGAGGTCAAGAATGGGCTGATTCTACCAAGAATCTAATTGTTTTGCCCTTTATTCACACAAATTGCATTTTCTCTGACACAAAAGAGAAACACAAGAAGAGGAAGGGGTCATTTCTAGCAAGTGTTATTTCCATGTTAGGATGAATTATAAAGTAAACACTAGAAAAGCACACCAGAAAAAGATTTAAAATTAAGGGTCAGATTTGCAAGTGTGCGCACGCAGCATCGTGGCAAACTCTTATGGAGGCCAAGCCTGATATACACACAAATGGGGGCTGCAGGCAGGTGCCTTTTGCAAATCTGGCCCTGGATGATTCTGCTGAACAAACTTTGAAGTTACAGACTATGCCCACACAGTTAAGCACAGGGACACAGTGAAGATAGTCAACACCTATATTTTCAGTGGATGGTTTTTGGTTTGAGGGTTTTTATGCATTAACTCATTAATTAGACCAAATAATACTACTTATACTTGTCTCCACTGCTGCTTATTCTCAGATATTAGCATTGTGACTAATCATTTCAAGCAGCACATGTTCACCTTTTCTTTCATTGAAGAGATGCCTTAGTGTAGCAGATCACATGAATGTATCAAAATAAATTCATACAACAGATTCAACAGTGGTATTTCCCCAAACCTTGAGCCAGGAGAGGGTAAAGCTTTGAGGTACCCAGTTTAAAGTTGCTCATGTCAAATTCAAGGCATTTGAGAGAGAACTAAACATCAAGACAAGCTTTAGCTCTACTCCAGTCAATACAAAATGTATTTAATGAATACACTGTCTAGAGTTGTTAGACAAAAGAGACAAGTTGTTTAGTGTAACATGTAACAGATGTTACTCATACCATAGAACTCCATCCATAAATCAATCTCCACCTACATCCAGGGTAAGAACCAGAAATTTACCTCAACAGTAAATTTAAATACTGTTGTGAATTCATCCTAAATATCTATCATCGCTATTATACATCATACTTTCATAGTTAAGTTTATTTTCAACACTTTAGTGTTTTTAATTCATTTTACAGTACAACACGTAAGAATAGTGTCCCTTAAGTAGACTCACATTTAGTAGAATCAACTAAACTTGCTTCTAAATCTGAAGATGTATTCTTTAAAAGATCTAGTTCACTCTAGCTGACAGGAGGGCAGAAAAAGCATGGCACCGGCTATTGGAAACTGTTGAATCAATGTATTTTGGATTCACCGAGTTTCAGAGAATACAGTATTAACTTGTTTGAGGGTAAATGAAGTATCAGATTATCAGCCCTACATGTCTGTTTAACACATTGTCTTAAGGAACCAATAATATTGCTTCCACTTCTCATTCTAAGGACTAAAATGGACCATAGAATACTTTTCTACATACTGCAAGTTTATTTGTTAAATAGCAAGGACACTTCTGCCTGCCAAGTTCAACACACACAATATTTGGTTTAAGAATTTAAGACAGAAGGCACTTTCAACATTCTACTTCAGGATATTGAGTGTAGAAACACTGTTTACGATTTTGTTTACTTTTTAAAAATAGTTATTAGAAAGAGCAATGATAGCACTAGTGTTTCATTTTCAAGAGCACATGTACCTACTTATCCCATTCAAACAGATAAGGCCCCTTGAAAGGCCAATACGTGTCAGTTCTAAAGTTCATTTCTAAATATAACACAAATCAAAGATCCTGAAAAAGATCAGTGAAATTTCTGTTGAGTCAGTGCATTACTCAGCTAGCCCAGTAAGTCTCTGGTACCCACTGTAAATTACAATTCTATTTTGCAGCCTTCAATGTAATGTCAGATTGTTGTTGGTAACACTGTATTGGGCTGTCTGACACCCGTTTAAAATGAAAAACAGATCTGCATGAAAATTAAGCCATTCCAAGAAGTGTTACTCAAATATCTTATATAAGAGATTTCTCCAGTTTCAGAATACCCGCCCCCCTGCATATTAATTTCCCAATGGTGGCTTTTTGCAGGCCATATTAAACAGTCTTCATTTTGTACGGATATTAAATCACAATTTCATTACTGGATGTACCTGAAGTTTTAGCTTTAATTCCATTTTCATTAATAGGGAAAAAAGATGGAGCAAAGGTAACCATCACTTGTGTTGCTGCACTCACTACTACTAGTGCTTCTCACAAGACACTATATGGACTCATTCCTTCCATTATTTCAATCAATCAACTATAAGCTGAACATTCTTAAAGTTGCTACACTAACAAAATTGACTGTACAGTGAGAGTTTTGCAGGAATGGATCCAATATTTCTAGTTATTTACAATATCATGTTTTAGGCAAATCTACATGTTTAAGTCCATCTGCTAAAAATGTAATACACATTCTGTAAACATGGCAACATTAAATATGGTACCTCTATTCTAGGATATTTAAATGTCATGATCACATCTCGTCATATCTGAAGTTGAATTTATACACAGGATATTTTCTAGCGTTACCCACTTTACAAGTTGCGAGGAGTCTAGATTTTGTGTGGCTAAGAAATTTCTTCAAAGTAAAGTTAAAGCTTGTCTTTGATTGTATTAGAACTTTCTCTTTTGTAGCCATATTTAAATTGAAGATTAGCACAGAAATTATCTAGGACCCCTTCCAATTTACAGTTATTAAAAATATCAGTTATGATTCTTGGGAAAAGTGTCTGATATGAAAAATAAAAAATTACTGCAAAATAAACTTAAATGGAAGTCAGATCTTCAGACTATCGGTCGAAAGTTCAAACATGTGTTATTCCTGTTTGGGTTGGAGTTGCTGTTTCCAGGCCTCATTCAAGTAAACTAGTCGTTTGTAGTTGATGATAAAGAGAATGAAGTTCAGCAAATATGTGATGACGCATATAATGCAAAATTCCTTCAGCACAAAGTACAGAATGTATGCCAGGTACAATGACCCTACTACTGACACTATGGAGGATGTCATGAGGATTAGAGCTGCTACTGCACTTGCTGTCATACCTGCAACAAAAAACAAAGTTATTATTGCTACTTTAATGCCCTCATTCCATAGTTGAAGCAAAAAAAATGAGGAAGAACTAACATTTTAACTATTTCTATTCAGTGAGTTTGTATTCATACAGCTCTGTTTAAAATACCATGAGTCCACGCTGGTTGCAAATCACAATTTGGAGCAGAGTTTCTAGGTTCTGTATTACAGTTCTTTTTTGATCAGCAGTGAGAGTGGTATTTTCATCATCTTTCATGTTCCTCAATTATGGGAAAGTTACAGGTTGATCAGGTTAGATCAGTGGTTCCCAAACTTTAACAGCCCGCGAACCCCTTTCACTAAATTGTGAAATCTCGTGAACCCCCTCCTAAAAATGAATATTTTCAGGGATTTAAGTTTAAATTTCCTCAGTGTGATGGATGACCCAACTGCCCGCCCCGCTCTTCCTGGGGCTCGGGCTGCCGGCTCCCCGCTGACGGGGGCAGGGCTAGGGCTGCCAGCCCCAACTGCCCGGCCCCACTCTTCCCGGGGCTTGGGCTGCCAGCCCCACGTGGAGCGCTGGGGTTTGGGCTGCCAGCTCCCGTGCTGACTGCCAGGACTCGGGCTGCCAGCCCCAACTGCCCGGCCCCGCTCTCCCTGGGGCTCGGGGTGTCTGCCCTGCAACCGGGTCCCACCTGCTGTCTCCAATGCCCAGGGTCCTCTGTCTGCCATTAGTGAAATTTTTCTGGCAAACCTCCTGTAACATTCTGCGAACCCCCAGGGGTTCGCACACCCCAGTTTGGGAACCACTGGGTTAGATCTATGAACATTTTCATTGGTTTTATATCAGATTACAGGCGCCAGGCAGAGATGGGTTTGCATGTGTTACTAGTCACACATCTTATATCACTTGTTTGCCTGCTTGCCACATGCAGTCTTTGTGCCAGTGCTCATATTAATGATAGAGGAGTTTTAGAGCTACCACTGTGGCTGGACAGCTAGACTGGTGTAAATTGTGATTTGCACCAGTGCAATTTATCATGGTTTCATCCAGGCTTAGCAATGTTTATATCAATGTCCTGTTTTATTAACATCTATGTTGTTATATACTTTAGACCATAAACAGTATTAAATACTTACCAAGTAACATTTGTAGAATATAAAATACAAGTCCAAAGACACTGTTTGGCTGATTTATTGCACTGTCCTTTCCAAAGATGGAACCCAACAGACCAAATCCTCGACCCCATCTGTAAGATAATAAACACCAATAATCCCAGATTTGAGATCCGCTTCTTTCTAACCCAAATTTCATTTTAGCACCATAGGAGGATGTTCTGGTGTAACTAGCGCATTTCCTATATGTAGCTCAAACTTCGCTTTAAAAAACAAATACTTTGTCACAGTGAGGGTGCACTGTATACAACACTATCCCATGCATCCATGCTAAAATTGGGATTTTGTACATTCAGTACCAATATAGCCACAAAAAGTCCAAGACACATTATAACAAGTCATTTATTTCTCTAGAAGTTATCAGTTTGAAAATCTTGCCAATGCATATAAGCTATAATGGTAAGTCAGGATTTAGCAGAATCTCTCTCCACAATATTATACAGAATGTGATTCTGATGTAGCATCTCAACTGGGCAGGCTTCAATTTTATAAATGATAAAGTTATAGGAGTAATAGTACAAAATAGCAAATACAGTAAGAAGGAATTTTTAAATCAACAATTGTGTATTTGTGCTAGGAACGGATGGTTCCTTCTAAGGCTGAACACTTCAAGAAATATTAGTGGCCAGAGCAAAATAAGGATAATTTTTTAAAAGTGACAACTGAAAGAGGAGATAAGCAAAGTGCCGTATATACTCGATCAAAAGCCGGTTCGTTTATAAGCCGACCCCCCCAAGATGGATAAGTAAAAATGGAAATTTTTTATGACCCGTTCATAAGCCGACCCTATAATTCAGGGGTCAGCAAACTTTGGCTCCCGGGCCATGAGGATAAGCCACTGGCGGGCCGAGATGGTTTGTTTACCTCGAGTGTCTGCAGGCACGGAGGTAAACCTAAGTAAACAAAGTGTCCCAGCGTGCCAGTTGCTTACCCTGATGGGCCGAGACAGCAACTGGTGGGGAAATATTTTTTGGGGGGAGAAGCTGGGGGTCAGCCCACATGTCCCCACCCCTAGCCCGGGACCCCCACACTCTCCCCATCCCATCCCTTCCCACCTTATCTGGGGAGGGCCAGGTGAGGATGTCTCTGGCCTGGCTGGAGCTGCTCCGGCAGGCTGGGCAGCGCGGCCGCAGCCTGCTCTGGCGGGCCAGACCAGGTGGCGCGGCCGCAGCATGTTCTAGCGGACTGGGCCGGGCGGCATGGCCACAGCGTGCTCCGGCGAGCAGGGCCAAGTGGCATGGCTGCAGCCTGCCAGCCCCAGAGCTGCAGCTGCTTCGGAGGCTGGGGGGGACAGCAGCGTGGCCAGAAGCGGAGAGACTCTGGCCCCGCCTCTTCCCTTCTGGCTGTGCTGCCTCTCCTGGCTCCCTCTGTTGGGGGGAGGGGCTGTGTCCCACCTCTCCCTCTCTATACCCGTTCATAAGCCGACCCCCTTCTCTGGTGATTCCCTTTTTTACTAAAAAAATTCAGCTTATGAACGAGTACATATGGTAACTTGAATACTGAAGCAATGTTAAATTACAGAACATTAGATTGCTATTACTATTCATAAGTTAGATGTCACCTGCATTTTCTCCAACTATCAAGCCAAAGTTTCCCACACTTTAACAGCCCCAATGAGGATGATTTAGTGCTTTTCATCGCCAAAACACTTGCAAATCAGGTAAGCTTCTATGAGCATTTTCAAAATATCCTCAGATCAGATATAGTTAAAGCAAATCAGCCACTTTGGAAAAGTGGGCTTATTGGTTTAACTACTATGCACACCAACTGCCTCATCCATCTCCCCCAAAAACTGTACAGAGAATTATACGCCAGTTCCTAACGCCAGTTCCTAGATAGAGTATGACTAGATAGTCAACCGTAGTAAAACCACACTAATTTGTTCCCCAATATGAGTGTGATCCTTGGAAATGCTACATGAATCCATGTTCTCCTAAACCTCACAATGAATGCCTGAGAAATGAAATTCAAGTATAAATATTAAAACCCATATTGCTTAAACAATTTGTTCTTCTGGTGTTAAAAATAGCAAAACGCGCGGTTTCCTCCGTAAGCCAAGTATGAGCAAAAGAGTTGGGTTTTTTTAAATTAAATCTTACACTAGGCAAAAATGGAAGTTTATGATCCTATTCACTGGTGGAAGGCTTCCTATAGCTAGTGGACTTTCAATTCTAGGTATTATGCTCTTACCTACTTTGACCTCAATCCTGCAAACACTTATGCACAGGTTTAACTTTATTAATTTGTGTAAGGCCAGGTCTATACTACAGAGTTAGGTCAACGTAAGCTACTTTACGTAGACCTGTGTAAGCGTCTACACTAAAATGTAGCTCCCACAGATGTAAATCGCCCACTACATCGACTAAACTCCACCTCCATGAGAGAAGTAGCACTTAGGTTGATGTTTTTAGGATAGACACTACATTACTTACATCACCTGTTGGCTGCCAGCCCCAGGGTGAGGGGGCCTCCAGCTGTCAGGCCTTGGGTGGGGGTTAAGTCAGTGGAAGCACTCTTGGGGCTGGTCTACACTGGCTGAAGTCGAAGTATCTTAGTTCGACTTGCCGCCGTGAGGACGGCCAGGTAAGTTGACCGCCGTAGCTCCCCCGTCGACTCCGCTTACTCCTCCTGCCAAGGTGGAGTACGGGCATCGATTTGGGGATCGATTTATCGCGTCTAGACGAGATGTGATAAATCGATCCCCAATAGATCAATTACTAACCGCCGATCCGGCAGGTAGTGTAGACGTGGCCTTGGTGAAGATGCACAGAAGAAAAAATAGTGTGGACATGAAACACCCCTTTAAATTACTGCAGTGGCTGTACGTCAACTTAAGTTGATTTAGGATATATTTACACTACAAAATTAAGTGTGACAGTTCAAAGACTGGAAATCCTGCAGCAGATTCCCATTGTTACCACACTCGCCTCATCATTGCATACAGTTTCATGCCATAAATCTGTGTAAGGAGTGAAAAGATGTGAAATTCTCTTGTACTTGTTCCTTTCAGTCTCTGTTTAAAATGGCAAAGTGTATTACTAACAGTCAATTTATTATTGCTGATATTTAATCTGTTAGTGATTTGGCAGCATTTAATTACTTTATAAAACTCCTGGGTGGAGCTCTAGTGCTTCTGATGCACTATTTCTCACAAGTGCCACCTCTAGAGTTCATGGTAATGTCCCTCCTCAACACTAAACTTTTCTTTCTCAGGTGATCATAATTTAAACTAAGTAAATATTTGTGATAAATAGCGTGCAAATTACAAGGCTACCAGTCTCAGAACCAGAACCAGATTTGGGTTTCTTAGCCCTGATCTTACAGGACTTGTGAACACAGTACACTTTGTATTCTGAAGAAGTGAAGTTCTTACCCACGAAAGCTTATGCTCCCAATACTTCTATTAGTCTTAAAGGTGCCAAAGGACCCTCTGTTGCTTTTTGTATTCTGTGTTGTAATTGAAATCAATATATTTGAAAACATAGAAAACATCCAAAAATATTTAAATATTTAAACAGAATACCTTTATTTTAATCGCGCAATTAATCACAACTAATTTTTTTAATCGCTTGACAGCCCTATAAATAACTAAATTAACTGACTCTTAGCTGACAGTCACACTGTTTCATGCCATCTAGTCTCTTGGTAACAAAGACTTCAGCCTGCATTAAAACAGTGCTTCACCTCATTGAGTGCTCTTTGTAGATTCAAGCGGATAGTACTCTGAGTGAATGCTTGCTAACAGAGCTAGAACAATTTTTATTGCAACCTTGTAGGGATATTAAAGAAGGTACTAACAGTGATTCCCCCAAGTGACAGTGACCCCCTCATAATTTGTCCCACACACTTTAAAATCCAGTTTCACCAAGTACAAAAATCTCTTGGGTCTTCTGTTAAAACTTGTAAGCTATTGTCTGTAGAAACCATTGATTAGATCTATCCTGTGAAAGATACTTTACTACTATGTAAAACTTACAAACAAGTTAACTGACTTTGTTCTTGAAGTAATTGATACAATGTAAACAAACACTGTAAGCTGTTAAGTGACTTTCACTTCATTCAAGGGCTCCTAGGACAGACCCCCCCACCCTCTGTGATTAAAGGGCCGGGAGCCTCAAATGAATTAGCACACACTCTGAAAGTGGTGGAGACAGTAAATTAAAATATGGTTAAGGTATGGAATGTATGCTGATGAATGCTTGATATACATGGATGGTTAGGGAGGTGCCAGCCTAGAAAGAAAGTATCCATCGGCCAAAGAATGTGTCAAGTGGATAACCAGAAACCCCCGGAGGGTAAACTGGGATCCACCCCATCACCTGGAAGGATGAGAAACACAAACTTTGGACAATGTGGAGCCACCAGGAATGTGCCACTTTGGACAGGAATGTGTGCCATCTGCTGTTTGAGTCAGCAACAGCAGGATGAAACAGCTCCCATAAACTAACATAGGAATTAATTCCTATAAAAATGGACTCTAAAGACTGATGACTTTGAGTCTCTCTGCCAGCCTCCAGGAGCATCAGATGCATCTGATACAGACTCTGCTCCATCCTCATGACCAAGCTACCTGGCCAGTAACTTGGCATGAGCAACTTCTAGGCTGGTAACTATAACACCTATACAGAACTTGAATGAATGATTGTGTGAATGAATCTGAATATCTCTCTCTCTCTCTCTCTCTCTCTCTCTCTCTCTCTCTCTCTCTCT